CAGGGGCGACGGAGTGCGCTTCGTCAACGTGCCGCTCGCGGACGCTAGCCGCCGCCGCTGGGCTCTACTCAGCTCGCAGGAGACCCACGCCTGGGGCGGCCTGGTCAGCCTGCTGCAGCGCGCAGACCTGCTGGTGGCACGGGGGAAGGACCTACAGGGCCTGGCCAGCCTGCGCGCACGCCTGGCAGCGCTGCGCTTTGGCGACTACGACGGCACCATGGCCCCTGCGCCCAGGGCTGCGCTCGGAGCTGCGGCGACCTCCAGCGACGCGGGCTTGAGGAGGAGGCTCATCGAGCATGCGCGGGCCCAGCAGCAGGCCTGCCAGCGCCGCGACGCAGCAGCCGCCAGGAGGCAGTGGCAGGACTGGGCCAAAGGCTCGACCACAGGCGGAGGGAAGCTGGCCCACCGTTTCTCCAAGCCTGAGCCGCTGGCCAAGGCGACCCTCGTCACGGAGGGCGAGGCCGAGGGGGAGGCCCTACCAGTCAACGGCGACGAGGCAGTGCGGCATTGCCTCAAGGAGTGGCTTCCGCTATGGTTGGACCCTCGGCGCAGAGGAGGCCTCGAGGAAGCGGCCAGCTGGGGGGCGCCGGAGCCGCTGCCGAGGCTCGAGGTGGACAGCCTCAGGCACCTGCTCACGCGGTACGGGAGGTGGGCAGGCCTGGGCTGGGACCAGCTCCACCCGCGGCAGCTGCTCCTCCTCGATGAGTCATTCCTAGACAGGCTCCTCGACGTGCTGGCCAGCTGGGAGGACGGTCCCGAGGCCTACTTGGACTGGCTCGCGGTCATCGTCTTCCGCGCCAAGGCGGACGGCGGCAGGGGGCCCATCGCTCTCACCTGCCTCCAGCTTCGCCTCTGGTCGGCCCTGCGAGGGCCCATCGTCAGGAATTGGGAGGCTCAGCGCCACGAGGTGTGGTGCATCGGCGGGGAGCTGAACACGTGCGAGAGGGCAGGTTGGGCGCATCAGACCCTCACGGCCCTGGCCTACGAGAAAGGCCTCAGCACGGGCACGGCCCTCGGGGACCTACGGAAGTTCTACGAGAATATCAGCCACAAGGAGCTCCTGGTGGAGGTGCAGGCCACGGGTTTTCCTGTTAAGCTCCTCAGGGCATGCTGTGTATCGTATTCTGGCTACAGAGTCATCACGGTCGACGGAGCATGCAGCTCGCCCTTTCGGGCTACTGGCACGGTGCTGGCAGGCTGCTCCTGCGCGACTGGGATGACCAAACTGCTCCTCTTCCGTTCTTTCAAGAAGGTGGCGGCCTTCTACCCCGGCGTGCGACTGGGCAGCGTTGTCGACGACTTCACGCTCCAGACTGTGGGCACCACGGGCATGGTCAAGGCAGCGCTGGGCCCCGCCGCACGCATGCTGTTGGGCTGCTTCGACGAGAAGCGGGCGCCCGTCCACTTCGGGAAGCTCTGCTACCTGACCCCCGACGCAGAGGTGGCGAAGCAGCTGGAGTCGGAGTGGGCCGCTGAGGACGGCAGGGCGCTGCGCGGCAGGCTGCTAGGCAACGACGTGCATGACGGGCGCTGGAGGCGCACAGCCATCGGGGCACAGCGGGTCGAGGATGCTCCTGCAAGGTCTCGGAGGCTGCAGGTGCTGAGGTCAGCTGGGGCCAAGGTGGCCACGGTGCAGAAGGGGAGGCCCAACTGCAGCCGCCACCTGGGGCTCGGCCACGACTGGCCTCGCCCCCTCGGTGCTGCACGGGCTTCGAGTAGCCGCAGCGCGTGGAGAAGGGCCTCTGGCGCCAGGTGCTTCGGTCGGCCTGCGGCTGAGGTGCTTCCCCAGAAGCATCGAGAGAGACCCAGCGGTGGTGAGCGCAGGGCAGGTGGTGCTGCAGTTCGGCATGGCGCTCTGGCTGGGCTACCCCACTCCGTTCGCCCTCAACGCGCTGCTGGAGAAGGCCAAGCAGCGGTTCTCGACGGCAAAGCGGCCCTGGGCAACCTGCAGGGACCCCGTGGCAGCCTTCTTCCTTACCATCACCAGGCTTGGCTGGACCATCGAGGGCGGCAGGCACGTCACCACCGACCAAGGGCTGGAGGTCGACCTGGCCAGAGTCTCGCCCTACTTCATCAAGGAGCTCGCAGAGGGGGCGGCCAAGAGGTGGTCCGACCGCGACGCCACCTTAAGGCTGTACCCCCACCAGAGCTCGGACCTGTACTGGGGCTCGCTGCAGAGGCTCGGCAGGTCCAAGGAGTCGCTCGGCTGGCAGCTACATCAGCGAGCGGCTCTCCACTCGATCATTTCAGGCACGGTTCTCTCCCAGACGCGGCTCTACAAGAGAGGGTTGGCCTCCGAGTGGGACCGCCTCATGTGCAGGGGGGCGCCAGGCACGCTCTGGCACAGGCTGCACGGTTGCGATGGGCATGCGGCATATCGCAAGGACGAGGCCTCACCTGATCTCCTTCGGCACGCAGAGGTGGCTCGAGCTGCTGGAGGGAACTGCGGCGAGATGTTCGCCAGGTGCCTCTTCCCGTCGCTCGACCACGTGGTCCCGAG